GTGCTCTCTCAGGCTGAGTCCTGGGCGCCTCCTTAGATTTCTCTGCGGTTTGAGTGCAGTGCGGAGCCCGTGCGCGAGCTGGCCATGAAGCCTCGGCTATCACGTTCAGAGTGCAGTCGATGGCCAACGCCCTCCGGAGCCGTGCTCTCTCAGGCTGAGTCCTGGGCGCCTCCTTGGCTTTCTCTGTGGTTTGAGTACAGTGGGGAGCCCGTGCGCGAGCTGGCCTTGAGCCCCCCGCTATCACATTCAGAGTGCAGTCAATGGCCAACGCCCTCCAGCTTCCACTGCTACCCCCCCGGGGCACCAGCTGCCCTCAGCAACAGCCATCCAGTCTCACATCTCATAATAATCTCCCAGATGTTTCTCAAACAGCTGAGCCTTAGCCCTGGCTCTGCATTTCCTACTGGATATATGCCCCCCAGTTCACTCTGCTGAAAGTTTTGGCCACTTCACTGCTACTTTGAGCCAGGGGCTATGTGATGGGGTCTTCATTGCTGGCTGGGAAGGGGATGATCCAGCCTTAAAGGTCCTATCGATGAGCCTCGCTGTTCTTGAATCTCTGCTGGGCACGAGGGTGGGTCCCTGGGAAGGATTCTGAGCGGGACATGAGCTTGCTGGATGTTTGTTCGGGGCACTCCTGTGACCCAGGAGGAAGGAACAGGGGCGAGCTGAGGAGCGGTGGGACATGCTGCGTCACCTGTGGGAGCTGGTGTGGACTTCAGATCATGCCGAGTTGGGGCAGCAAGGTCAGGCTGTCATGTCCTGCCCTGTCCATCGGCCACTGGCTGCCAGCTGTTGCAGGAAAGGATGACTCCCGTCGGCCAAGGGCTGCACTTCCTCCCCGCCCTGGGGAAACATACCCTTCAGTCCTAAAGCGGGGTCTCGAGAATGCATGGACAGTCTGTGACAGTAACCCAAAAGTATTCATTGCATTGGGGCCACTTGGAGCTTCATATGGGACCAGGTTTACTGCTGATGTCTCCTTTCTGTGGACGGAGCCCAGTGCTGAAGCCGTGCCGCAGACTGGACACAGCTTTGGACCAGACGTGCTCTCACGAAAACGTTTCTTTGTGTTACCTTCTGGGTGTCAGTCTTTCCCACGAACACATGCTGTCCTAGAGGACTCAGGCCATGCTCCGCCATCTCCGCCTCCCGGACACCAAATCTCGGGGGTGCGTCTGAGCCCCCACCCGCCGCCGCGCTGTCATCAAGCCAGCAGTGACACAGAGCCACTCTAGCTGTCATCGGCACGCCGGGAGCTGCTGAAGGTGAATCGGGAGGACTGCAGACACAGACGCAGCGGGCTCACACACTTTTTGATCTGAGCATCCCAGAGCCGACCACAACAGAAGCTCCGGAGAGGAAAGGTCAGACCCATGAAGTGCTATTTGTTTTCAGTGAAACTTCATCCCACCCACTTAACACCCGTCTAACCAGCAACGGAATCAATTACCACGTGTCAGCCCGAAATCTGACACAAGAAATGAAAGAAGGACACAACCTCCCTGGGGGGGCTGGCAGGCGGGCAGCGAGGGCGGGGGAGCCGAAACTCTCGGGGAGGGAGGCCATGAATGAGCCACTGGCTCCTGTAGTTAGAGGTTAAAGGTAGCCCGAGACCCTGCTTCCCTTCCCCACCTCTCCAGCCCTGGATCAGCGTTAACTTGGTGCACCATGGGGTATTTCTATGGTGAAGGGTGGTCAGCAGGCCTGTGAAGTTATTTGACTTTGGTTACATAAGTTGCTCCATTAAATAATTGAAGACCAAAAAGTTCTAGACGCTCATTATTTTATAGAGCTCAGGAGGGAGACTGCCTGGCAGATCATATTCGCTGCCATGCCTATTTGAGCTGATGGAGCTGCTGCGTTTCTCGGGCTTCTGTTAAACGTGGTGTCAGCTTGTCCAGAGCGCCCATTTCAGGTGATGTCATTCACTCGCTACATTTACGGAGGTGGCGAAAAGAGCTCTGTGGGTCGCTCAGGCGGAGAATCTCGGAAGAGGTTAGCCTGGTGCTATTTCACTGCTCCGTTGAATAGATGTTTTTCGTTTTTCAAAGGTAAGGTCTTTGCTAATAACCAACACCTGAAGTCTTACACGTTTATGCATAGGCTTCCCGGATGCAGTGCCCTTTCATCTTCAGAGAGTAGTCTGCTCTTCGACCGTCGCCCTCAGGTCGCTGTCCCCTGTTGGGATGTCCCAAGTGGGAAGGACTGGTTAACCCGAACCTGGGCCAGAAGCAAGAGGCATCGCTCCAGGCCTGCTGCTGCTTATTAAAAGGCGTTTCTGCTCTTCAGCAGGAACTAGAGACAGGCAACGTGTTTGCTCAAACGATTCCGTGGAATTGTAGGTGGGGTGCTAGTGAGTGGTTCCTCGGGTTCTGTTTGTGGGTTTGTTGATGCCTCCTTATGACACCGCTCTCAGATGATTTCTTTTCTTCTGATCTGAGAGGTGCTCACTCAATCTTTGGTTCTTCGGTCTGCAGGGAGCGAGACACGTGTGCACCTTGGGTCTCTCAAACTGACGCCCCTACACGCGTGGCTTATTTACTGCCTACACAGTAGCACCACGTACGTCTCCATTAACATGCTGGCTCTTCATTTCCCCGAGCTCCGCTCTGCGCCTCCAGCTGTGCTGGAAGTGGCCCCCACGTCTCCCGGACACCTCCCACTCAGCATGGTCAAAGTGGCATCAGTCATCTGCCCCTGATTTGTCTCCTCCTCCATGTCCGTGCTCCATGTCAAATGTGGGAACAGAATCCCAGGGGTCAATTAAGCTTGAAACCTGAGATACTTTCTTGAACCCCTGTCTCCCTTATCACAGCATCATCAGATGTTATTGATTTTGCCTCCTAAATATTCCTCCCATCCTCCCCTCACCGTCCCTGCTACGGTGGCCTGTTTCCGCCCCCAGCCACCCTCCCTGCCTGCGCTGACGGCAGCTGAGCCCTCACCTCTGTGGTGCTGCTCGTGTTGTCTCCTCCTGCTAGACAGTGTCCCCCTTTTCTCTTTTTCTAACTAAGGAACCTTAAAAACTTTTAAGACAAACCAGGCATCACTTGAAAAACAAACCCACCCACCATCAATCACTTCGTTGTTTTCAAAACCCGCATTTTCTCGTGTGTTCTCTAGCTTCCTGAACTTGATCCCTGCTTCTCCACCTCTCAGTCAGGAGGTTTTGAGTCATTTTGTGCCGAGATGGTATCAGTTACCAGATGTGGACTGACTGCTGGGTTTACCCTGTCTCCTCGTGGCTCCACCGTCGCCTTTCAGGTTGCAGCCACCTGACTTGCTTGTAGGCCAGTGCCCTGGTCCCGGGCAGATCTTCCCTCCTAGCTGCGCCCTGTCCTCTGGCTTATCCTCAGACTGATGTCTCTAAAGCACTTCTTTGTTCCAACCTTCCCTGTCCTCCTTGTTGGCAGAGAAACGTCCTGCTCCCCAGCACCGCATTGCAGCCCTTACTGCCTGATGCGAGGCACCACTGTCATGGCTGATGCTGTCACACCCCCTCTGCCCCCACAGCCCCCCACTTCCAGTGTCCCCCAGATTACCAGCTGCCTCAGAGCGGTGTCCTGTGCTTTGGGCCTGTGGCCATGCCAGTCCTGACTGGGACTTCCTCTCACGGGAACCGGGACATCTGTGTCCTTCTGCCCCCAGGGATGCCTCGGGGTGCTCACAGACGTCTGTGCGCCTCACCTCACCCCCGAGCAGCCCCTCCCTGAATTCCCTGCAAGGAACGAAGACCTGGACTTTCAATGTGTGTTTCAGGAGAGTTCTTTGTTTTTCACTGTGTGCTCATCTTTTAATCTTTGCTCTTATTGTTCCTGAAATCATTAAAACTGAATACACACAACCTTTTGTCTTGCTGAACACTTAGTCCGGTCAAACACTTAGTTACTTTGCACACATAGGGTCAGCTTCATAGGGTCAGCTCACGGAAGGATGACGAATAGTGTTTCTGGATGGCTGGTTTAAAAGCACTCATTGGATTGGTTGGAAAACGGAGGCGCTGAGGCCTTTTGGGAGGGCGTGCAAACATTTCTCGAACCATTCCCAGACAGTTTCTACAGATACTGACACACTGTGAAAGCAGCAAGCACACTGAAGGCCAGCTCCACAGGGGCCATGGCAATGTTCATGCAAGAAAAACACGCAGCTGCGTATCTTTAAAAAATTGAAAACAATCCTTTGAGCGCACTCTGTGTCAGTCCTCTTCCCAGCAGGCCTTGCCCCAGTCTCTGTTGAGCACCTGCCCCTTCCCCTCCCCTCCCCTCCCCTTTCCTCCCTTTCCCTCCCCTCCCCCTTCCCTTTCCTCCCCTTCCCTTCCCCTCCCTTCCCGCCCCCTTCCCTTCCCTCCGCCTTCCCTTCCCTACCCCTTCCCTTCCCTTCCCTTCTCTTCCCTTCCCTCCCCTCCCCCTTCCCTTCCTTCCCTCTCCCTTCCCTTCCCTTGCCTTCCCTCCTCCCTTCCCTCCCTCCCCCTTCCCGTCCCCTTCCCTTCCCTTCCCTTCCCTTCCTTCCCGTCCTTCCGTCCCTTCCCTCCTTCCCTTCCCTCCCCCCTTCACCCTCCCCCTTCCCTTCTCCCTACCCCCCTTCCCTTCCGCTTCCATCTCCCTCCCCCTTCCCTCCCTCCCCCTTCCCTTCCCTTCCCTTCCCCCCCCTCCCCTTCCTTGACCCGCCCCCTTCCCGTCCCTTCCCTTCTCCCCTCCCCCTTCCCTTCCCCTCCATCCACTTCCCTCCTCCCTTCCCCCTTCCTTCCCTTCCCTCACCCTTCCCCTTTCCCCCTCCCTCCTCCCTCCCTGTCCCCTTCCCCTCCCCTCCCCACCCCTCCCCCTTCCCTTCCCTCCCCCTTCCCTTCCCTTGCTCTCCTCTTCCCTCCCCCTTTCCCCTCCCCTCCCCTCCCCCTTCCCTTCCCCTCCCCCGCCCCCTGACCGCCCCCCTCTGTCACGTGACCGACGCCCGTGGGACCCAGCGCGCATGAACGGAGCGAGACGGTTGGGGCCTGGAAGATGGCCGAGCAGTGTCCCCCAGACAGGGCGACGGGCCAGGTGTGCCCCTTCCTGTTCAAGAAGCGGAGAGGGGCCGCGGGCCGCAGGAGGCGCCGGGTCAGCGAGCCCGAGCCCGAGCCCGGAGGCGGCAGCGGCGGTGACGGCGACGAAGGCAGCCCGGTGGTTCGCCGCGAGCCCAAGCGGCCGACCCACGACCCCATGATCCAGAAGACCCGGGGCTGCGGCCACCGGAAGGCCTCCTGCGACCCGAGTCGCGAGGAGGAGGAGGAGAACGAGCCCGAGACTCCCCGCGTGGTCTACAAGTCCACCCGCTCCGCGAAACCCGTGGGGCCTGAGGACATGGGGGCCACTGCGGTCTACGAGCTGGACCCAGAGAAGGAGCGGGGCGCGCAGGCCCTCGCCGAGCGCGGCCCCCGGACCCAGGCGCAGCCGAGGGGCCGGGAGGATGACGAGATCTACCGGGGGATGCGCAGCTACCGGGGCTACGCCAAGCCCACGGCCCCGGGCGCCGGCGCTGCGCCCTGCGGCGCGGCGCGCAAGGGCCCCGTCCGAGCGCCCGAGCACCTGCGTGCCACCGTGCGCTGGGATTACCAGCCCGACATCTGTAAGGACTACAAGGAGACGGGCTTCTGCGGCTTCGGGGACAGCTGCAAGTTCCTGCACGACCGCTCCGACTACAAGCACGGCTGGCAGATCGAGCGGGAGCTTGGCGAGGGGCGCTATGGCGTCTCCGAGCACGAGAACTATGAGGTGGGAGGCCAAGGGCAGGAGGTACCACTCAGTTGTTTCATCTGTCGCCAGACCTTCCAAAACCCGGTGGTCACCAAGTGCAGGCATTATTTCTGCGAGAACTGCGCCCTGCAGCATTTCCGCACCACCCCGCGCTGCTACGTCTGTGACCAGCAGACCAGTGGCGTCTTCAATCCAGCGAAAGAACTGATTGCCAAACTGCAGAGGCATCGAGCCGTCGAAGAGGACGGGAAAGTGACGGAGGGAGAGGCCGGTGGGGAAGCAGGGTCCTGGCGGTGTGGAAGTCTCAAGATGTCCTGCAGAAATCTGTAAGCAGAAACACCCACCTGGCCACAGTCGCAAAGACCCTGGACAAGATGCCATTAATAACTAAATAAATGAGATTAAGAAAATTGCTGACGTTGCCCTGCTCAGTGTTGTTCAGTGGTTAGAGCGATGGCTCGCGGACCCTAAGGGTTGTGGGGTTGATTTCTCCTCAAGGGCACCTACCTGGGTTGCAGGTTGTCCCCTGAGAGGCAGCCAATCAATATGAATCTTTTTCATAGATTTCTCTTTCCCTCCCTTCCTCCCTCCTACTCTATTAAAAAGTAAATGGAAAAATATCCCCCCATGAGGATAAAAAAAATTGCTGAAGCTCAAATAAGAGCTGACCAATCAACAGCCCAAGATCCTGAACCCCTTACTCATGCTTTTTTGCTTTTATTTATTTATTTTTATCCTCACCCGAGGACACTTTTTGCATTTATCTTCAGATAGAGCAGGAGGGAGAGGGGGAAGAGAGAGAGAAACATCGATGTAAGAGAGACACATCACTGGTTGTCACCCACACAACCCCAAGTGGGGCCTGGACAAACTGCACGCCCCTAGCTGGAACCAAACCCTGGACTTGCCCGTCTGCGGGCTGACACTCTAACCGCTGAGCCAAACCAGCCAGGGCTGATTTTTGCTTTTAAAATTCCCCAACTGTAAGCCATTGGTGATTGAGTTTTAAAGTAACAGTTTCCACTCTCCTTACCTTTCAATAAAGGAACCCTAAATCCTCCACTACAAAACAACAAAACACACAAACAAAAGAATCATTGGATGAATTTCAACTTTTTATGTTTCAAACCAGAGCCCATGTAGACGAAGCTTGAATCCCGGCCATAAGCCAGTTTCTCTGGTTTTGGTCAGGCGCCGGCCCTGAGGAGTTCACTTTATTTTTCTTTTACAGTTCAGGGAATGGATCAGTAGAAATGAACAGCCTAAACTCTATCTTCCTACATAATAAATGGATGTTGGATGAAATACAATATATAATGTGAACATGTGGATAACAGATGATTTTTAGATGTGACTAACGTATTCATGAGGCATTTTTAGCAAAATTCTCCACTAGGCTCATTGTCCTGAAGTTGAAATAGAAGAAGTTGACTGTCTAGTATGCTCTTCCCGAAACCTGAAGTTTAACTGGAACCCTTTGAAGTCTTTTATTATGATTAATGAATCATTTCAACATTTTGCTACATTCAAAGGCCCTCAGTAGAAGATAAAATCGAGTTCCTTACTAATCAAGGATACCACAAAAGATTGGAAATCAGGCGAAAATGTGACATGAGCAGTAATACTAATTTTAAAAACCTGTGTCAGTCACTACAAATTCCAAAAGAGTTTGGAAGCATTTAAGACTTTTAAGAAGTGCACACGACTGATCTCAGGAACCACTTGGGAAATATTTGGGTGCCATTTGTAATGGTAGTAAATACAGTTTGATACTTTTCCTGAGTGAATGTTTTATAATAGAGTTTGGCATCATAAACCCGGGGTGGAGATAGGCCTTCTACACCTGCCTGTTTGTGAGCTGAGATTCCCAGGATAGGGCTGGGTTTGGTCCCCATGTCTGTGCTAGCCTCTGATGGGACAAAACTCACTTTTTTTTAGGGAGGTCAATCTTTGTCCAGGTGGGGAAGGTATCACCCACAGACTAAGATTTTGGGGTTCTTGGCAAGGACTACTGAGGACCCAGCTTACTCTACATTTCACTCTCAAAACCCTGAGATAACCTCCACGAGATGACGCACTGCAGAGAGCTCACGATTCCAATGCTAACACCTCTGGAGAGGCTTAGAATAAGTTCACGGGAGGGCCTCTAACAGAAGAGCTGCCCAGCCCAGGGCCCAGGGCGGCACAGTGATTGCTAACCAGGCTAGTGAACAAAGCACACTGACTACCGAGACTGTCAAGGCAAGAATCCAGACCGTACTCTGAAAACAACAAATTCCAAAGTGGTTTTGAAAGCTTAGATAAGGAACTTCCTGATGTATTACCATCTAGTTTTCCTGCCATATTTTACAGCTGGGACTTGAAGCCCCACACTGTGTATCGGTGCAGCTGTCTGTCCAGCTCAATCCTCCTGTTGTCCTACACACTGTCTCATTGCATTGTTCCTGGATCAGAAATCTTCACTGACCCTCCCTTTGCTTCATGGGGCAGTCCACAGTCTTTAGCTGTGTTGAGAACCATCTAGAAACAGGCCCAAAGTTACTCTTCCAGACCTATGTCCCCTACTTCCCAACATTAATTCTTGACCAGAGTCAAAGTTACCCCCAAGTACGTCTTCAGTCTGCCTGTCTCAGTACCATTACTAATGCCATTTACCAGTCCCCAGAATGATTCTCCTTGTTTGCTCTTGTCCAGTGAAACGTTGCCTAGACTCACAGACCCATTCCATCTCAGCACCTCCAGGAAAGCGTCCCAGATCACCCAGGGGTAGATGCCACAGTTTCCTCTTCTATACCTTTCAGAAGTCCATACTGTCTAATGCTGTCACACTCTGTACCTGTTGGGAACCCGGGCCTGCTGTAAGCTCGCAGACAGTATCTGTGTTTCCTTTTCCACTCGTCAGCACTTAATGCCCAGCACGTAGGCAACTGCTCAGTGCACAGTGTTGAGCCACCTGGGTGAATTATGCCTCTGTAACTCTTGGTACCTAAAATAGGGCCCGCAGAACCCCATTCATCCATTCATCCACTCTCTCTTTGTTGACTACCTCCTCTGTTCAGCTCTGTGCTTGTCCCTGGAAATACAGAAATGAGCAATACAGCCACGGTGACCGTCTCTGCAGACACAGTAACCTGTGGGGAAAAGAAATACTTGCACAACTAACGAGTACTTGCCATGGCTTCCAGCTATTGGAGGCTTGCTGTGCCAGTCGTTGTGCGAAGTACCTTTCCACATTGTCTTATTGAATGGCCGTTACGCCCTTGGAGGTGAGCGTTACCCCCTTCTCACAGATCAGGGGGTCGATGGGAGCTTAGCAGGTCTGTTAGGTTGACTTATCCAAAGCTACCTGGCTGGTGAGTGGGGGAGCAGGAGCTTGACTGGGTTGGACACCAGAGTTTGTGTTTTTCAACCACCACATGATAGAAATAATTACTGATATTAGAGGGATGACACGTACCCCAAATGGTTGTGTGTTAGTTTCCCGTGGTGCTATAACAAAGTAGCACACACACAGTGCTTTTATAACAACACATATTTATTATCTCCAAGATCTGTAGGTTGGAAGTGCAACATGGGTCTCACCTGGCTACACCAAGTTGTGGGCAGGACCTCATTCCTTCTGGAGGCTCTAAGACAGCGGTTTTCAACCTCTTTCACCTCACGGCACACAGAAACTAATGACTACATTTCTGAAGCGCACCAGCAACTGTTTTTGCTGATCGGACAAGAAATAAGTATAATTTGGATTTCCTTCACCCTGGATGTCTATCGTTGTATTGGCTGTTGTCATGTTTTTATCTGATAGTCCTAAGGGAAAAGAGGCCCGTGCCCCTGACTGAAGAGTCAGGCATTGCATGTTTGGTAGGTTCGGCCTCAGCACGCGGGGTGAAAGTCGCTGCTCGGGGGGAATTCCGTGTCCTTGCTGGGCAGGGGCCCCGCACCCCTTGACTTTGCCCCTTCCTCCAGCTTCACAGCCAGCAAGTTGGCTGCCCTCTGACAGTCCTCTGTCCTCATGTGCCTCTGTGACCACAAGCGAGGAACTTCCCCTACCTTTAAGGACTCATGTGATTACATCAGGCCCATCTGGATCATCCAAAGCAATTTCCCCATCTCAGGATTTTTTTTTTTTTTTTTAAAGAGAATTTTTATGAGTTTATCTGAGCCAAATGATGACTATTGAGGGAAGCTAAATCTCAATGGATTGAGAAAATGCTCGGGAGAATGGCAGTTTTACAGATTATTTTATACATTACAATCAAAGGAGGAGACGTAAAGGGGTTACATGAAATCCACTGGTGGTAGATCGGGGGGGTGGGGAGAAAGCACATCAGAGAAATCTCTGAGACTGAATAAAAAGTAAAAGAGAGAAACACATGCTTCTTCTACTTTGGCGGGTACAGAATAGTTAATAGTTAACATTTACAGCACAGAGATGCTATGTGGGAACAAGATAACAGTGAGGGGTAATATGGTCTCGTGCTCTGGGGGGAGGTTGTACTACCCTGAGAGGTCTGGAAAGGGGGTTTACTCTGACATTCCAGGGGCCCGTTATCTTATATGCAAAATGACAACGGACAAGCTCACTTAAGGTAAAGATTGACATTTATCAAGGAAGCTACAGGGTTAGGCCGGGATGACTCACTTTCAGTTAGGGATTTTATGTTACTTCTTGCCATATAAGGTAAAATACTCACAGATTCCAAAGATTAGGGTGTGGATATCTTTGAGGGGGCATTATTCTACTGACCACACTGTAGGAGGTGTAACAAGGGGAGCAGTCTGGGGGTGGGGATATTGCTCAGACTTCCTGGGAGGGTCAGGCACCCCACACTGAGGCCTGAGGAAGTGTGAAGTCCCTGCAGAGACACAGAGCTGGGACCTCAGGAGTCCCAGAGAGGCCTGGCGGGGGAAGTGGCCCTTTCTGAAGCCGGAGGGTGCAGGGGCCAGATCACAAGGAACACGCCTGGCAGGCAGGGCATTGATTCCATCGTGATGCTGGGAGGAAGGGCAGTAAGTAAAAGAGGCAAGTAGCTGACATGATTGATTTGCATCCTCAGATCATTCTGCTGCTGTGCAGAGAACGTTCCCTAGGGAGCAAGAGGGGCAGCAGTCAGGAGGGTATTCTGATAGTTCGGGTAGGGGATGTTGCCGGCCTGGAGCAGGAAGGGGTACTGTGGCCAAGAGAGACCAGTCTGGGTGCTTGCATGGAAGCGGAGGTAAGGGACAGATTTCCAGATTTCTAAGTGGACAACTGGAGCGGCGGGGCCTCTCTGTTGACGCGATGGCAGCCGCAGGAAGACCGGCCTTGGATAAGTGCGATGATCAGAGCC